TTTAATGTGTATTTTTATTTTGTATTTCATTTTTAGAGATGAGGGTCTTGCTATGTTGCCCAGCCTGGCTACAGACTCCTGGGCTCAAGCAATCCTCCTGAATATGAGACTACAGTTACCGGCCACTGCCCTTGGCTCTCTTTACAAGTTTTATTCTACATGGGGTAGCCACTGAAAATCACTGATAAGAAAATTAGCATCTCTGGCTCTTAGCATTGACACTCCAATAGCAACCTTCCCTGGGCTGGTTTCATTCATGATCAGTCAGTTTTCTGTGTGCATTGGGCCCCTGCTTCCTTCCTTTGGGTGCTGTGGTCAACTGGGGTGATTTGTCCCAGTGGAGTTGCCATTAGGAAGAAATGTGCTTTGTGTGAGTTGGGTTGGGTAGGAGGAGGCTCCCTGGAGGACTCTCACTTCTTCCATTCTGACCTCACTATGCCTCCCAGAGCCTCCAGGGCCTGAATCACCACAAGTCTGAGCAGTCACCTGGGATGACCTAGGACCACAGGGACTGAAGCCCAGAGAATGCAAAAGAGCCTCAGTCTGGGGTCACTTGGGCACTGAACTTTCAGTGGCTACCCCATGTAGAATAAAACTTATAAAGAGAGCCAGAAACGGTGGGCCATGATTATAGTCTCAGCTACTCAGGAGGATCACTTGAGTCTAGGCTGGACAGCACAGAAAGATCCTCATCTCTAAAAATAAAAATAAAAATATTTTTATTGCCCAGTTTAATCATTTAGGGATATTTTTATGAGCTACTGCCATATAATTAATAAACAGCAACAAAGTAAAAAAAAGTTTTTAATTGTAAAGAGAATAGCCAAAAGGCTGAAAGCTATGTAAACTTGAGTTTCAAAGCACAGATGTTTTCTCTTTAAAAAATAATGATAATAATAAAAATTTGTAAAAACAGTGAGCTAGGCAGGAGTTACTAACTTTAGTCTTGCTTTGGCTTGATGGAGGAGCCTGGTGCACTATAAATAGACTAGGGAGTCTTTTATTGGAAAAGGCCTGGAAAGGGCTTCCTCCCTGTGGGTGGTTTGGTCAGCTGGGGTGATTTGCCCTGCTGCTGGTGAGGTTACCCAGCCAGAGCCTCAGTGGCTCTCTCCAGATGTCAGCCTGGCCCGGCATGGCCCAGGCCATCCCTACCCAGGCTGGCACTGTCTTTCTGTTTTGAGTTGGTCAGATCTGCTTGAGACTAGGGTTGAGTCCTTCAGGTGACTGTGTCCATGACACAGCCCAGTAGGAGGTTGGAGTAGACAAGTGTAGAGAGGGGTGAAGTACTTACAGAGACCCAGCTTCTAGAGGGCCCAGAAGTGACCCAGGTCAGTGAGTGAGTGCAGGGAAAGGGACCTTCCACCAGGCCCCAGCACGGAAAGCCAGCATCTGCCTCTGGTGTCAAGGTCCCCTCCAGCGGCCCCCTGAACTGCCTATGCCATCCTGGCCCTGGCTGCTGCTGGGATCCCTTTCCTGGAGAGCCCCCAGCTGCTAGAGGATGGAGCAGGGGACAGCAGCTTCTCTGCTAGGAGATGTCTTGAAAGTAGGCTCTGCCTTTGTGTCCCCAGTGGCACTTGGTGCTGGCTGTAGGTAGTAGGCTGGTGTGGGTAGATGAACGGGTGTGTGGGCAGAAGGAGGAGTCAGTGCATGAGTGTAGGAGCCCTGTTATAACCAGAAGGTAAGATAGTAGGGTCCGCATATCAGCGGGTGGGACTTCCTTTTAAAATAAGGTCAGTGGCATCTGCTGCTCCAAGGGTAGAGGCAGCAGCACAAAGGGGTCAGTGCTCTGGGATCTTTGAGGAGGAAGAGGGCTATCCATTTATTTCTGGAGAGCCAGGGAGCACATCAGTTAGGAATCTCCCTGTGCCATCACAGTGTCCACCTCTCCACTGGTCCATCTGTCTGGGCACCCATCAGGCCAGGTGCCAGGTTTGACCTCTCAAGTCAGCCACAGCTTCAGCCCTCGGGCCAGTTTCCTAGAAGGGTGCTCTATGAAATGTGTGCATTGAGGGTGTCTTAGGTCAAGTTCTCAGACAAATGTGAGACAGATTCATGTGCAGGAGGCTTAGTGGAGAGCGTACTTCTGGGAGCTGCCCCAGCCCAGGGAGGAAGCAGTGTTCTATACAGTGCAGACACCACAAAGGTCACGTGCAGCCCCTGCCCCAGCTCTGAGCTGGGAGGGCCCTTCAGAACTGTTCAACTGGAGCCAAGGGGATTGGTGAGCCCCCAGATACCAGTCATTAAATGTACACTCCACACCCCCAGGTATAGCCTTTGTGAAGGCAGCTCCCCTGGCACTGCCCGCACAGGGCCTCAGCTGTGCGCCACGCTGCTGAGGAGTCTGGGCAGTGCACTAGAACACTGAGAGCACTCAGAGTTCTGACCAGGGGGAAAGAAAGCAGTATGGGAAGTCTACATGGCAGAAGAGGCATCCTAGTTGAGGTGAAACGAACAGGTCACCGTATCCAGGACTGGAGGAGCAGGAGGTGATAAGGGTGAGTGACTAACACAGGAAAGACATGTTCAGAGACCAGCCGGTGAGTTAGTCAAGCCTGGAGTGAAGCCACGGTGCCTGACCTCCAGAGCCCCTTTGCCAGGAAGATTATGGAGTTTGGAATTCATTCCATGTGCCCTGTTGGAAAGGAGACCTCCAGTGAGAGCACTGGGGTCCCATTCGGTCCAGCAGCTATGTGTGGACAGATTCACGTGGGAGAGAGGAGGCAGGGAGGCTCACTCGGGATGTGATGGAGGCTCATCTCCAGGCCCTGAGGACCAGTTGGGGGCGGGGGGAGATAGGGATGAAGCTGGGTAGGTTCTGTCCCCAGGTCTCCAGGGGACAGAGACCCAGCAGGAAAGGTTCAAGAGGGGAGACCCTGGGCTTGCATCCTTAGCAAAGAACCTGCAGCTTCCTTGGGGATTCCCACCTCCCTTTGGATAAAGGCTGTTTGCTCATCCAACCTCCAGTGCATTGCACCCTCCAACCTGGCTTATTTCTTCATTTTATTCAACACTGATAAAGCGAGCACTCTCTGCCCAAGGTTATCCTAAGCGCCTTGCAGGTGTTAACCCACTTAATGTTCTTTGCAACCCTAATGAGGTATAATTTTCATTCTCATTTCTAGTTGAGAAAAACAATATACATGGTTCAGGTGATTCTAGAGCTCCCTCAGCTTATGAATGTTATGGGACCTGAGTGGAGTGGTCTTCATGGTAAGGTCTCTGAGTCATGGTACTCTCTTGACAGCCAGCACATCTCTCAGGAAAGCCCCTGAGACTGATGGCAGCCTCTCTCCTTGGCACCCATCATCAAAGAGCCCACTGTTCTCTTCTTTATATTCACATCTTCCCAACAGCTTTCCTGATGCACCCTTAGTTCTATTTTCTCTCCCTTCAAGCATGAAGGGATGGTTTTGATTACAACTGTTAAACCCTGCCCCTGGAGCCCTGGAGTCACCCTTCCTTAAACCCAAAGACCACTGTTCAAAGCTAGAGGGCTAGAACAATAGGGCCTAAGAAACCAATTAGCCCAATATCTTTAGATGAAGAATTAAGAGGACCAGAGAGGAGATGCGACTTGCACAGAGCTGCATGGCAGTTTAGGAGTAAAACTTGTGTGAAGAACCCAATTTTGTCTTTATTGTCCAAAAGAATCAATTTTTAGTATTTGAATTTTTGATTAAGTAATGTCATGCCCATATGTCAGACTAACTTTAAAATAACTTTACATCAGAAGCTTGTATATGGGCATTTAGCATTGATACAGCACCTCCTTGGGGGAAATACCATATCAAGCTCATTTTATGGGGGAGGAAACCAAGGCACAGACAAGGTAAGCAGCTTGGCTAGGGTTGTACCTGGGGTGAGCAGCAGAGCTGCCTTCAAACCCAGGTAGTTTGGCACTTGACTCGGCGCTATAAACAGAACTTAACCTCTGTGCTGTCCAACCCCTTCAATGATTTTGGAAAGATATTCACCAAAGTTGATACATTAAAAGAATGCACAGTGGGCAGTGCCTATGGCTCAAAGGAGTAGGGCGCTGGCCCCGTATATATACCAGAGGTGGCTGGTTCAAACCCGGCCCCGGCCAAAAACTGCAAATAAATAAATAAATAGATAAATAAATAAATAAAAGAATGCATAGCTTGATTTTGTTTTGTGTTAAAGATGAATGTGTGCTTAGAAAACAAATCACCATATGGATACCACATTGTTGATGATGGCGGCCTCTGCGTGGTGGGACGCTGGGGGATACTTATTTTCTTTGTGTTTTCCTGTGTGATCAAATTGTGCACAGTGAGAAAGAATTTTTTTTAACTAGATAATTTTATAAGAAGTCACTGCTCATGGCAGTGAAATGAGTAAAATGGTGTTCAGGGGACAGTACTGTAGCTGCAGAACTGTATCATTTCTCACTGGAGCAAGTGACTGGGAAGAATGAGAGGTGGCCAGGCAGGTGTGAAGGTTACAGGCCCAACACACCAAATCAGGAAGGACCTTGGAAGTCACCCCAGTAGGCAGAGGACCCCTGTCTCTTTAGATAGGCCCCTCAGCCAGGGCTCCTTCCCCGTGCCTTGGAGTTTCAGGTGACACTGGGCATTCAGGGAGAAGTGTCTATTTGACAACTTGGGTTCCAGGAGTGGAATCTGCATCCCTTGGGACAGAAGTGGGGTAAATGTATTGAAAGCCAGGAGTGAGGGGGTGGGGTGGGCTGGGAGACATTTTGGAGGGTCCCAGCCAGAAGCCCACCTCCACCCTGACCCCAGCCATGTACAGAAAGGGTCCCCAGCAAAGAGAAGCTTTGTTGCCATGGGGTACGGGGTGTGTGACAAGGGATAGATGTGGGGACAGAGGCAGGCTCCTGTCTGGACAGGTTAGAGAGGAGGCTAACTGGCCAAGTCTCTGTTTTCCTTGAGCCCTGACTGTCTCATTCTGCTCTGTGACTCTGAGGATCTGCCCTGAGAAGTACTCAAAGCAATTTTGTTTGTTTGTTTTTTAACCAGAGACCACCTGGGAACGTCCCAGCAGTTCTCCTGGGATTCCAGCCAGCCCTGGCCCTCACAGGAGCTCTCTGCCTCCAACAGGTAATGTCTGCTCACCACTTAGGAGTAACTGGGAGGGCCCCTGCAGTGATAAAGCTGAGACTCTGGGTCCCTGGGGCCTGAGAGCTGGCCCAGGTTGTCATGGCATGAACCAGGAAGGGACCAGGCCAAGGGCCAGCTGCCTAGCAGGTTGACATCTCTATGACAGTGACCACAGCAGGTCTGGTGGCCTCACGTTCTGTCTCTCATGTCCATGGGGAGAGGAGATGGCTGGGGAGGCATCACAGCTCTTCCCTATCTGTTACGGTCAGGAGGGCCTGGAGTGGGGACAGAAATGCACTACATGGTCTTGGTCAAGGGGTAGAACCTGAAGGGAGACAGATTTGCATAGGGCAGCTTTCCTACAGAGTGCCTGGAAAGGAAATGGGATTCCTTGTGAGGGTGTGAGTTCTCCGTCAGCAGAGGTAATCAAGCAGAGGTGGCTGAGGTGGGTGTTCCTATGATAGGTGGGACGTTAGTCCAGGGGGCTCTCAGGTGACATCCGGTTCTGAGATTCTAGGAGACAGGTTGCAGGACACAGCAATGGAGAGAACAACTTCTGGTTTTTTATGGGTTGGTTCTTTCCTAAATGTCACCTCCTCCAAAAGGCTTCCCTGACCACTCCATTAAGAGCCCTTATCCAGGTCGCAGCTGCATGCTGTGTTGTTGCCCTCAGAGTCCTGCTCCTGGTTGCTGGTCACCCTCCCTTGCTAGGTGGGAAGCTCCCTGAGAATGGGAGCTTTGTCTCTCTTCTTATGTGGAATTTTCTACCACTAAACAGTGTGACTTCCACGTGGGGTGGATTCATTTCCCTTTCATGTGGGATGGAAACCAGTCGTTGGTTTTCAGCTTTTGGTGGCAACCTGGTGGCAAATGGCAATGATATCAGATGGGAATTTAATCCTTAATAGCTTGAGAGTGTAACAGAGAGTGGCTGGACACAGGTGGGGAGGCAGAAGGCTCAGTGACATCCTCAGCTTCCGTCAAATTCTTGGAACAGTAGTTAGAGGCCTAAATAGTTTCCTAAACCCCCATGTGGGGAGGGAAATGGGGGCGTTTCCTCCCGATTTCCTAGGGCGAGTGCCGCACTCTCAGATCAAGTCCCCAGAAATGGGCACAGTCAGCACTACAGCTGCCAAGTGACACCAGGCAAACAGGCAATTCCGAGCACACTGCCACTCCTTTCATTATTGTTCTTGTGGTTTTTTTAACAATAGAAATTCTAGGATGAATGATGTGAGGTGTGGCCCTCTTTCCTGTGGCCTGATGCCAGCCAGACGCTTAAAAGGGAAGCTGATGTCTTTTCCCGCAAGCATGATCTGTGGAGGAGGACAGAACAGCGTGCGGCAGAGGAAGGCTTGGTGTAGAGGTGGCAGGTGTGACTGCTGCCACCTGCCAGGCTGGCAGGGCTGGTTAGGTCTTGCCCTTTGAGTGACAGGCTCACCTCTCCAAAGCCTGCTCTACTGGCAGCATCTGTCCCCTCTGTGCTATTGGTATGGGACATCCCCAGAAGGAGGGGCTGGATGCTCGGGCCCCTGAGGGCAGCTGAGACAGGCAGGAAAATGGGTAGGGGAAGTCATATCCAGAGACTAGAGTCGCCAAGGTGGCCAACCTAGACTGTATGTGGTCAGCGACTGTCCCTCTTTCCCCCACCCCAGCTCCTAGGATGGTGTTTCCTAGGGTGGAGTACTCTTGGGTCTGTAAGTGTTCTGTGGAAAAAGGGCTTTATAGTCAAAGGCGGTTGGAAAAGCCTGCCTCTTCTATTCCCCGTCAGAGATTCAGCACACACATCAGCTATGCGAAGGCTCCAAGGCAACCTGAAATGGAGAAGCCTGTTTAAAGTTCAGTAGCATCCATGGCCACTGAACATGGCACAGGGCACAGGGCAGGCCCTATGCAGCTCAGCTGGAAGCTGCAACCCCCCAGGTCAGCATGAAGAGCCCTGTGTCATTGATTCTAAGGCCCGCCTCTTCTCCTCCCCCATCCCACCCAGCCATTTTAATATCTTGAAAATCAGATGTGTCCTGTGGTGAATTGTGTATCCCAATTTAATTGGAAGCATCTTTTTTCCTTTTTAGTTGTACTTAGGATAAGGATATCTCTAATAATCCGTGGCATCTTAGAAATGGGAAGTTATGATACCTCTTGTTAACTGGGGCCTCAGCAGGTGTCTCTCTGCCAGCCCTCACTGTCCCCATCCTCACAGGTCTTGTCCATCCCTCATGTTTTCTGGGTGGCACTTTCTATTCTGGGCCACAAAAGCACCTGCTCCAGGATGGAAGGAAGAAGAACCTGTAGTGAGGCTACAGCAGGTTCTGGGATATTTTGGCCTCTTCTTTTTCAGTTTGTGAGCCTAACCCTCATACCTAAAGAATAAAATAACGGCCACATTGATATTTCTTTGCACTCGGTTTCTTCCAAGCTTTTTTCTCAGACTCAGAGTTGTTACTGCAAAATTTGCCCCTCGCTCACTCCTCTGCTGGAGCTCACTCAGAGCCCTGAAGCTCAGCTCCTGTGCTTTTGCTCCTGCTGCTGAGAAGGCCACAGTGATAAATGTCACTGATGAATTTTTCTCATTGAAAAATGTGCCACCTGCTGTTCTTAGTAGCCAGGATGTAGCCACAGACAGATCAGGCACACGTGCGGCTCCTGCTTCCCAGAAGCTTGCGTTAGAGTGGGGGAGTTGGATAAATACGTAGACACAAAATTTCTCAGACATCCTAACACAAGGAATGAAGTAGGGCAGAGTATCAGAGCATGTGACTGAGGGATCAAGGAAGGCTTCAGTGAGGAAGTGACATTTAGGCCAAGCTAGAACAATGAGGATGTGGGGTGCCTTTAGGCCTGGGACAGCTAGTACAAAGGCCCTGGGGCAGGAATAACAGAGCACTTTGGAATTCAATGCAGGCCTGCAAGTCTGGAGGGTAGGGGCTCAACCAGAGGATGGGATGAAATGAGGGGATGTTACTGGCAGGGGCCAGCCGGTGGAAGGTGTTGGGAAGTCATTCTGAGTGCGATATTTGGCGGGGGGAGTGGAGACATAGCTAAATGCCGGGGAGGTGTGCTATCTTCACAGGAGGTGCTTCCTTGAAGCCACCAGTCCCCACTTGGCTCTGCTAAGACTGCTCTTGATTGACAGTGATGATAGAGGGGCGGGGTGGCCTGAAACGTGGATGGAGTTGAGGTTGAGGTTAAAACTGGAGCCGGGTTTCTTAGCCACACATTTCCTGTATGGTCAGTCTTAAAGAAGAACATGGGGAAGCAGGTCAGGGAGAAGATCAGGGGGAACCACAGATTAACCCAGCCAGGCCCGCTCGGGCAGGCTTCCCTTCATGGAGGTGGAGGGGGTAAGGACCAGTTCCACTCTCATGATGTGGCTTTATGGGCTTTTGGACAGGGCTGAGTCATTCTTCTGGTTGTTAGACCCCAGTAAGCACAGCCAGCCGGGTTACCAGCTGGGGAGAGGGCCCTAGAAACACACCTGGACCCCCATCCCAAGTTAGATTCCCCTCTGTGAACATCGGGTGCTGTTTAGGGTCTGCGGTGGGCTGGGGCCTTTCCCTGCATTAATACCACGAAGCTTCTAGGGGCTGTGTTTATTCAGTAGCTTTACTAGGGACATCTGATGCTAGGCTTTCTGGGTGAGGAGCACATAAGTAAGAAGCAAACTTTAAGCCAAAACAGAACACCTGCGACACTATTCAGTAATGGCTGCAAATATTATAAATCCTCTTTGGGCAGGGTTACTATGCAGCAGGGATTTATAGAGAGAGAAATAATAACAAGCGAAGGGAAAGAAAATTTGAGTGAAAAATGAGGTTCTGGGAGTTTGATGTGTGAGTCCCAGGCAGGATGCAGGCAGGATGGAGCAGTGTTGTCCCGCAGAACTTTCTGTGATAGTGGAAACGTTCTCTCGCCGCTCTGTCCGCCCATGGCTATTGACAACTTAAAATATGGCTGGTGTGTCTGAGGAGCTGCATTTTTCGTTTAATTGAACTTAATAACTTTTACTTTGGAGTAATTTTAGATTTATAGAAAAATTGTAAAGATGGTATACCCGTAACTCAGTTTTCCTGACCCTGTGTCACATAACCACAGTACATTCATCAAAACTGAGACATTCACATTGGGAATGACTGTTAAATGTTATACTTTATTTGGATCTCATGAGTTTTTTCACTAATGTCCTTTTTCTGTTCTAGGATCCAATCCTGGAAACCATATTGCATGTTGACTTTATTTAAATTTGGTTTGTTTAATTTTTTTTTTATTAAATCATAGCTAGGTACATTAATGCAATCGTGGGGTACAGTGTGCTGGTTTTATTTATACACAATTTGAAATATTTTCATCAAACTGGTTAACATAGCCTTCACAGCATTTTCTTAGTTATTGTGTTAACACATCTATATTCTACATTTAGTAAATTTCACATGTACCCTTATAAGATGCACCGTAGGTGTGGTCCCACCACTTACCCTCCCTCCGCCCTTCCTTCCACCCCCCCCTTTCCTCTTCTTCTTGGACTATAATTGGGTTATAGCTTTCATATGAAAGCTATAAATTTGTTTCATAGTAGGGCTGAGTACATTGGATACCTTTTCTTTTATTCTTGAGATACTTTGCTAGAAGAACATGTTCCAGCTCCATCCATGTAAACATGAAGGAAGTAAAGTCTCCATCCTTCTTTAAGGCTGCATAATATTCCATGATGTGCATGTACCACAATTTATTGATCCATTCATGGGTTGATGGGCACTTGGGCTTCTTCCATGACTTAGCAATTATGAATTGGGCTGCAATAAACATTCTGGTACATATATCTTTATTATAATGTGATTTTTGGTCTGGATATATACCTAGAAGAGGAATTGTAGGATTGAATGGCAGGTCTATTTTTAGTTTTCTAGGTGTTCTCTCTTTCCAAAAGGAACATATTAGTTTGCATTCCTACCAGCAGTGTAGAAGTGTTCCCTTTTCTCCACATCCACACCAGCATCTCT